AGGAGAAAGTAAGCAATACCCTTGCAATTCAAAGAGCTCGTCGGACGGAAAATCATCCTGGAGCTCCCAGATAGTGATAAGATACCTGAGAGTATGAGGAAAAACGTTAGATTGAGAAAACTAGGGCAAACGAGGAGGGAGGGAAGGGGGGCAAGGCAAGGGAAGGAAAGCAGTGGAAACGGAGGTGAACCAGGGACGGGAAGAGGGAAAGGGAGGGAGGGAGGGAGGGATGGGAAGGGAGTTTATCATCAGACAGGCAGCATGCAAGGACGAGCGGTCGGAGGAGGATACCTCAACCTCGGAGCGAAGACCCCATCCGCTCCCCTCCTCTCATCCTTGTACACCAGAACCGTTCGCGCCCTCCAGTCCTTGTGCGCGACGGCTCCCACAACGCACCAGAGGTCCTTCTTCCTCGTGGACCACATGAAAGTCTCCCCAACATGATGTGACTGCAGGTTGGTCGCCCTGCACGTCCTGACCTTGTCGAAAAACCCGAAGAGGTCGGAAAGCAGCGGGAGCGGCTCCCGGGGGGGCGGAGAGCTCTTGGGCGAGGGCCAGCGAGGAGAGGACGGCCAGGGGCCGAGGTCAGTGTCGATGTACTGCATCCTCTCTGGGCTGTTGTCGGAGTCCAAGGAGGAGATGACCCTGTTGCGGACGACTGCGTCCTCGAACTCGAGTCGGAACACCCGCTGCCCTCCCTCTTCCTCTTCCTCCTCCATGTCGGGGATCACGTAGCACGACCAAACTCCCTTCCAGACACCGAGATGATACTTCCTCATGAGGTTCCAGTTGTTGAGCCGCACAGGCGTCAGTTCATGCGCGTCGCTCAGCCTCTCCAGGTACTTCTCAGTGTTGCTCGGAGTTTTCTCCTGCTCCTTGCCTGCCCCTCCTCCTTCCCTCCCCGTCCTCGTCGCCTTTGGATCTCGAACTTCCTTGGAGGCTTCTTCCTGCCTGATGTCGCCTGCTGCAGAGAGCGGGAAGTTGTTGTTGTTGTGGTTAAGGACGTTGATCAGAAGCTTGACGAAGTCCTCGTACTCCAACCGGATCCTCCCGTCTGAGTCTGCAATGTTGAGAAGATCCCACAGCATCTCGTTGCTGATGGTCAGGTTGACGGCCAGCAGAGCAGTTCTCAACTCAATCAACTTGATCTTACCATTGCTGTCCTTCAGCTCATCGAAAATCAGCTTCAGGTGCACACTGTCCCACAACAAAGACTCCTGGAATTCGTCTATCGGGCCCTCCATGCTCTCCTGGCCCTGGCCGTCCATCCCCACAACTTCGTTGCTCTTCCAGAGCTCCACGTCTTGTGCGTAGGGAAGCATCTCATTCCTCCCCCTGCTCCTCTCCCCGGCCCAACCCACAGAGCCCTGCGAGTCCATCTTGCCCACTCGCTTCAGCATCGACGACTCTGTTTCCCTTGCCAGGTTCTCTAGACCACCTAGCTCGGTCAGCTTGGCCGAGAAGTCAAGTTTGTTGCGATGAATGAACTGGCCGTCAACAAGGATGTATCCCAGTTCAATCACCTTCTGGTATGCAGGGCCGTCCACATTGATTAGCCTGCCCGTGATAGGCGATCGCACCCGCTCTCTATCCAGCCCCCTCCATGATGCCTCCACGCCCTCCTGCTGTGAAGGTTGGTACGGACTTTCAGCCCCCATAAGAAACAGAGAGAGTGAGAGAGGGGGAGGGGAGGGGAGAGAGGGCGAGGGCGAGGGCGAGGGCGAGGGAGAGCGGGACGAGGGAGAGGGAGAGGGAGAGGGAGAGCGGGACGAGGGAGAGGGAGAGGGAGAGGGAGAGGGAGAGGGATAGGAACAGGGACAGGAAGAGCTGGTGGCAGGTCAGACCTTGGTGCTGGACATGTTGGAGGATCCAGCTCTTCTGCTGCCCTGAGCTACTGTCAACTTCTTCCTGAACCGCGAAGGCGAGCCCATGGAGCATTCTCGCTGCCACTGAAGCAGTCTGCATCCTCCTCTCCTCTCTTGCTGCATGCGCGGAGCACGGCACAGAGGCTCGGGCCCCATCCCAGCCTGACTTGCCATGAAGTGCTTTTGTGGAACGATCGTCTCGTCGGCGAGTGGGCGAGGGAGAACGCTGAAGCCTAGTTGTACCTGCACGCAGATGTCTGGCAGCAGGAGGAGCACAAAGGCTAATCGTAGCGCTCCCATCCTGTCAGACGATGACGTGAGCGTCGCCCGTATACGAGTCGAGTAACGATGATGTTCAGACCAATCAATCGCTACCTCGGCGTTAATACGCGCACGTAAATCTTTCTCTCATATAATCCTCATCAGCTCGGTATCGCATGCTTAAAGTTCAAAGAATACAAGCGACTGCTAGCGGCTAATGGGAGGTTCGGGTCAAGGATGAATGTGAAGAGATGACAAAGGGATTAGATCATGAATAAGATTTGGTTGTTTGTGTTGCTTGTGCCTGAGATGAATGTTGATAGAGAAGAGGCAGCATGGATAGAGTTTGAAAGTAACAGAACAGACAGAGCATGCAGGCATGATGTGGACAGGGAGGTGTAGAATGAGTATCTAATAGAAATAGCATTTGAGCAAGGCAAGCCAATTTGGAGAAGGTGGGAGGGGACGGAATGGAGAAGATTCCGGAAACGAGCTCAAGGAAGGATGTCAAGAACAAAGGAGAGGAGGAAGAAGAGAGGCAAGGTAGAGATCAGATGGAGAGGAGGAGGAGGGGGGGGGAGGAGGACTAGGACCGCGAACATGGTCAGCGGTCGTATGTAATCTTGGCCTCCGCCATACCTTTTACACCGTTATTTCACCGTTATCGGATACAAAGTTACCCGGTGCGGCCGTTGTGCTGGGTTTTCAGCCATGGCAGATTGTGATGGCGACGGATGGCAGCAGACATTCATGAGTCGCTCTTAGTTATCAAACGATGCAACAAGGAGACCCATGTAACCTGTAAGCTGCATGATTTCACTCTGCACTCTTTAGTTGAGGGGCAGATGAAGACAAATGGTTGCAGTGTTGGATGATGACATGTAACATTGTGGTCGTCAATGGTCCCCTCCTATAGTTGCTCACGCCCTCTGAAGGAACTGTGTGCCAGGAGGCACTAGACACCATGAGGATACAAATCTGATGGACTGTTTTTGAAGATGATGGACTGGTTTTGAAGTTGTTACATCTCCTTGTAAATTATGGGCGAGCAACCGAGTAAAATGTTGCTTCAGGTTGCTACCAATCGTTTGAGACTGAGCCCTCACACACACATACTCACATTTTCTGAGGAATGAGACAGGTAAATAGTTCTAGGATGATGTATACTCTGCTCTCTCACAAACTTACAAATGATGTACAAGGCAATGATATTGTTAGGTAGATTGCGAGGAAATCGAAGAGACAGAAATGACGTAATGGATATGAAACGCAGAGGATACCGTCCCTTGAAATCGGAGAGTCTACTCGGGATGGGAGACGTGCCGGAGATTCAAGTGCTCATACTGGTAGATGATGTCACTTACATGCTAACAGGATGTTAGCCAACTAGATTGTAGACAGGTTGTATAGAAGGAGGGGAGCTCGAAACCAAAAGCTCACATGGATTTTGTTCTCAAAACATTTTGAACTGTTTTGAACGGAACTGTTTTGAGTTTTGGGAATCTCATACCGTGATGCTTTGCTTAAAGGTGATAGGTGTTCTTTTCAAAAGCACTGGATTGGTGCTTTTTGTTCTTCTTCTTAGGAAAAACTATAACCATATTTCAAATGCGAGAGATGGATCTGATGTTGTGATTGTTTCAGCTCATTCAAATTACAATGAGCGAAACCCTTCACGATTTGTTTTCGAGAAATGCGTTGACACTCGGTCGTTATCATGGCGTCGACATTTGTACAGAATATAAAGCGGAAATTCGTTCATCTTGAAGGGCGACATGCACTCCTCGTCAGAGGCTCGTCCTCTTTGCATTTCTATGGGAAATAACATCTCTCTTCTCCCTAATGATGCAAGCAATGAACAATTCTCACCTGCAAGCAAAACTCTGGTCAAGTGCCTGACCCCAAGTCAAAGAGCAGTTATCGTTACATCTTCTTTTTTCCTGTCAGAGCCATGTCGTCTCCTTTTCCTGTCAGGGCTCTCGATGATGCTTGTAATGCGTCTCAAAAAGGAGGAAGACATGTGTAAATGTTGCGGATCCTGGCTTGTACGCCAGTACATGTGTAAATATGTAAAGAAATGATTAGCTATACAGACGACTGATTGTTGATGTTTGTTGAAGATTGTTGATGTTTGTTCTTGTTACTCCTCCCTCCCTGCTGAGCATTCGGCTCTTCGAACTCTCCAGGGACGATCACGCAGCTGCATCATTGGAATGAGGGGGGAAGAAAGGAGTAGAAGGGGAAAGACAAGTGCTGGAGTGGAGGAGCAGAAGGAGAGTGGATCACCTGCCGCAGGCCAACCCACTAGCATTATCTCTTATCTTGTAAGTGATGAGAGTTGCGAGGAGACTGGAAATGGTGCCTGGAAAAGCTTGTCACTCCGACGATCAAGTGAAGCGATGGCAAAGAACGAGAAGAAAACAGAAGCGACGACGACGAGGTCAAGGAGATTGCACAGCAAGCAAGAGAAAGAGATTGGGAGTAAAAGCTTCACCGGCCACGAAGCAAGCCCCGATGCCCTTCGACACATCCTCCGGGTTGATGTAGGAGTAGAGAGCTCCCGACACGAGGGTCCCCATGAGCCTCCCAGCAGCATTGGACATGTAGTAGAAGCCGACGCTAGTTGCGACCTTGTCACCTTCTGCATAGCGCACCACCTAGGAAGAGAGCGAGGTAAGGAGAGGGGCGGAGGGAGGACGACACTAAGGTGGGGTGGAGAGGAGAGAAGAGGAGAGCTCACTAGGTAGGAGTGAATTGACGAATTGATGGCAAATATGAGGGCGAAGATTACAATCCCAACGATCATGGTTGACAACATCTGAAAACTGGAATCAGCACATGAATAAAATCATTATCACAAGCATGATCCGTTGAGATAATCGTCATCATCGTCTCCAGCTTCACCGGCACCTCCATTGCCATGTTGTCAACTTCATTACCTGGTTGTATTCCTGATTCTGAAACTCCGGTGAAACCAGTGTCATCAATGCCAGCACAAAAGGAGGTACACAGTTCAAGTAGCCCCAGAGCACCTGATCATGGCGCACATTTGTCATCTAGTCCCTCGTCTCATTTCGAGTTTTTCACCTCCACCCACTTGTTCGGAGGAGATTGTTTGAGTGGATTGAGCACGAGCTGAGGGGTGTACGCCTGCATCTGACCGTAGAGAATGATGTAGATCGCCTGCGGGAAAGTGAGGAGGTGGGTAAAAAGCTCGTTTCGAGCTGATCCTCCGCAATCCATTCTTATTTCATTGCGCATTCTTCGTCAATCTGCGCCCTCTGTCCTTCTTCTCCCCGCCCGTTCATCCCTCTTCCTTGTCTCCTGCATTTATCGCCCCTCCTCTTCTCCACATCGCTCTTGTTCTCCTTCCCACATGCTCTTGGTTCTCTTGACCGTGTTTTCCCTCCATGACTCTTTCAACCCCTCCCACTCATCGTCATCGTATTCGCATCATCTCATACCAGGAATGCTCCCACAGTGACTCTTGCCAGCCCGAGACCTCCACAGCCAGAATTCACATTTTGACAGATTCCTTGATCCCCAGTCTGGAAAGTAACAAGCGTTGCTGTCATTACCAACAAAATTTGGAGGAGAGACAGTTGTATCTTACAAGAAGACACTCTGTTCCTCCTCCACAACCAATGTCGGCCGAGCAGGTGGCATTCAAACCTATCAAAACAAGATCACATCATCTGTTCGTCTGTTCTCGCCTCTATCATTGAGTGTTTGCTGATAAAGAGAGTGGTTCTCAGAACCATCACTACCACAACAGCCTCTATTGACATCATCATCACAATCGCAATATTGATATACTTGTGCAAGCTGGAGCGCGCAGGTAGAAGGGAAGAGGAACTTCGAACCACAAGTCTCTTGATGCAAACAGGAAAAGTCTTGCAAACGAAAGCCTGAAGTACAATGAGAACATACATACTCATGATAAAAATTCAAAGTCACCAGTTCAGGTTGTGATTTCCAGAGAAAAGCGCATCCCTACAAAATCATGTTCAGTATCACACGGTCTCCCACTATCCTAATTTTTTGTGTCATGTCCAACTCCATCAATATCACCAGCATAGACATAAGAAATATTCAACATGATTCACGTGCGCAAACCTCAAGGTCACATTCTTCGATTTTGCAGTTCCAAGATTGCTATCAAGGCCAATCTGCATGCATATCAGCATGATTAGATTTCTGCTTTAAACCGCACAATGGCCCAGGGATATGCGCACAAGATCATGAAAACGTTTACACCTGCCCATGTTTCATGAGTTCCTCATCCTACTACCCTCCACTCCTAATCTCCTCCTCTCCACCTAGAGCAAGGTAGAAGCCCCACTCGTCACTCGCACCCAGACACGCCGCTCCTGCGCGAGTTGGGGTAAGAGAAAAGTTGGGGAAGGATGTGGAAGAATAAGGTAGGACAAGGCGATGGTGGGGCTCTGCAGGAGGGGGAATGGAGGCGGGAAAAGGCGGAGAAGATACTGGAAGATGAAGAGGAGGAAGATAGTGGAAGAAGGAGGAACAGAAGATATGAGGTAGGGGCGAGGAGGAAGTGGAGGGAGGAGAGGAGGAAGAGATTGCGTCACCAATGAAGTATCCAACTCCTTTCAGAGAGTTCTTCCACCCTGTGATGTAGGAGACGAGCTTGAAGAGAGCGCCCTTGAGCCATCACCATCAATTCTTCCCTCCAAAGAGAAGTCAAGGTGCATCTACCTGCTTTTCTTCCGGGGTTACAAGCTTTGTAACGGTCTTCCCCCCTGGGTATCATCGTCATTTCAATCATCAGATCAAACTTCACTTCATCTGCAACAAGATTCAACAAGTCCGACATTACCAAGTTTCGTGAGATCTTTTGCAATCCCGCAGAGCATTTGAGCGATGGTCACATAAACTGTTTTGTAGCATGACAGTCAATTTGAGCAGAAGGACATGACATTCATCGTACTGATCGCAGTCGACTTGCTCCAACTATTCTGTTGCGTCAGCAGGAGAAGAAAGACGTGTCAGTATTTGTGATGCGCAAGAACAACAATGAAGACATGTCATTGTTTGTGATGCGCAAGAACAACAATGAAGACATGTCATTGTTTGTGATGCGCAAGAAAAAAAAGGTTCAGACCTGCCAACCAAACAGCATCCCCAACCCCATCAGCTGCAATGTGAGACCGACGAGGAGAGTCCACTTGATCCCCCACTGTGACAGAGAAGTTGAGCGACAGCAGAATGAATGCGAGGAGGAGGAGGAGGAGGAGACAGGAAGATCGGAACAGAAAAACGACACGGGAGGGCGGGGAGAGAGTACAGCATGGAGGTGAACAGAAGAATATGATGATTAGACATTTGCACGAAAGAAAAGCGGAAGATGGGAGGGGGAGAG